TAATGGTCAGTCTCCAGACAGCAGCTTGGAACCCTGGTTAATCTGTGACCAAGATCCTCCAGACATCTACTGTGTTGGGTGAGTGAATGCTTGCTAATTCATATTTACAGCATCTGATGTCTCATTGCTTCCCTTTTGACACTGATAGATTTTACTAGTTTTAAATTCCCAGGCTTTCCCAGTGGATGCCACATTTTACATGACTAGCACAGGGGTGGCCAGCCTGCAGCATGGATACCACAAGTGGCATGGGCAGCTTCTGTGTGTGGCATGTGGCAGATGGGGGGGGGGGGAGGGGACAGGCAGCACAGCGATGAATATGGCAGAAGGCTGAACAGCAGATAAGGCAGGTTGTGTAGGGCTGGGGCAGAAAACAACTGCAGATAGGGCAGGAGAAAGGAATCGGAGTGGTACTTGCTGAGGGTATAGGGCCGAGTTGTGGCATGCTTACCAAAGAAGGTTGGCTCCTACTGATCTAGCATGAGCACTAGAGGTGGAAACCAAGAGTTTTTATTTTCACAGGATCTTGCTTTGGGGAAGCAGTGATCCAGACCATCCAAAGAAGCATCTTAAACTCAAAATATCTGCTTGACCTAACAAAACAGTGAGGCCTCCACTGAGACTAAAGTCATGCTGCCCCCAAACCAGATTGAACTAATGTCTTTTGGGGGGATGATCTTTGGAAGCTTCTAAGACACTGAAAAAAGCTACATAGCCTTTAAGAGTGGGATCTATGTGCTCATACTTCAGAGTGGATACCCCAGAGTAAGATTGATTTGCAGCTGCTACAGGACCAACTTCTGCTGGTGGTGCAGGGGAAGCTGGTTTGTGGGAGGGGTATAGTGTCCTAAATTATCTTGTTTTTAGGTTCCAGGAGCTGGATCTCAGCACAGAGGCTTTTTTCTACCTTGACTCTGCAAAGGAGCAAGAGTGGCTGGCTGCTGTAGAGAAGGCTTTGCACCCCAATGCTAAGTATAAGAAAGTGAGTTCTATTCAACAGTTGCCTCTGGCTTGTGAACTGGTGAGATTGGGAAGCAGAATAAAAATAGGCTCACTCTTTCCTTCCTTAGGTTTACTTGAGCAAAAACAGCACAGAGCAAAAATTCCCCAGACTGTGTAACTAACACATCAAAAGACTAGTTTTATGGGTAGGGAGACTTGTGGTTACTGTAATAAACCTGAAGTGTCAGAGGACAGAAAATGCTATGGAACAGCTCTTGGCTCTCACTTAGGAAGCTCCTGCTGAACAGCCAATCAGTAACTGCAGAGACTTGGGAAGGCAGGGGTGCAATGTGAGATATGATTGAGTACTCCAGTAAGACCCCTGCAAAGGGTTCACATTCCACATCCACATAACTCCAGTGGCTCTGTACCTATAAAAATTGGGTATGTCTTATCCTAAGGAACCAAGTAAATAGCTTCTCCTTGAGGAAACATAATGTTTATTTAGGGAGAAGTTTGCCAGAGGCAGTGGTAGGAGTTACTTTTGGTGGTGCTAGCTGGGCTCCTGGACTAGTTTTGAGTGAAATGGTTCCAATTCTTTTGTAGCAGGCTAATGTAGCAGCTGTTTGTCCAGTAGATGTCACTACCCTGAGATCATTAGTTATTTTGCTTTTCCTCCTTCCCTTTTGCAGCAAAAGTGTTGAAAGCAAGGAAGTTGAGGAAATGGTGCTTCTAAAGTAGGTATTAGAGGATGTGATGGCAATGGTAGATTTGGCTTCCCCAAGTTTGCTTTACTTGAATTTTAAAACTCTCCATCCCTTCTGAAGGGCAAGTTACAGGATATGGCTGCAGGCAAGCAGAAGTGACTAAAACCACAGATAAAGCCCATGGTTAAAAATGCCAATGTTAGAGCCCTGCATAACTTTCTGATGTCTCTAGTTCCCCTGACTTAGAAATGATTTAACTCTTGTTAATGTAAGTGGGCCATTTTTTTGGCTCCCCTCTGCTGTGGAGGGTTCATTCCCACTTCTACTAATACTTTGCTGCTCCCTATAGAGTATTTCAAAGTGCTTCATATGCCAATTATTCAGCCTCACAACCCATGTTTTGGAGGTGGGTAAGCTCACAGGCCCAAGATAAAATGATTTAGGTCATGTAGAAGAGTTAGGAGCAGATCCATGTAGCACTGTAAGATGGACAAACACAAACCCTGTGTTTAGCAGGTGTAGAATAAGCCATGCAGTGGCAAAGACCTCCCTCTCCTCCAGGAAAAAATGCTTCCTATGGAAGGGAAGAAAAAGTCCTCCATGAGACAATGGGAGCCGAGGATCACAGATGCTGCTTTGATATGCCTAGGGGCCAGTCGTTTCTGATGCCCTGACGTCTGACATACTGCTTGTTTCCCCTGCATTAAAACGTCTTTGCCAAGTTAAGCCTCCTGTTCCCACTTCCAGTTTTCTGCACTTATATACAATCAGATGAACAGAAATACTTGACTGGCCCCAGATATTTTATGAGGCTCAGTCAGTTCTCCCTCAGTTTTTTCTTGATAGGATTATAGCTTAATAGGGAGGCCTCAGGCCTGTCACACAATTACAAAGTCTCAAATCTCTGAAGAGAGCAATACTTCCAGGGTTTCAGGGGTGTACTTGGCACTTCCAGGGAACACAGTATGAGCTCAGCACCATCATCTGGTAACATTGAAAACACTGACTCTCCCCAAAAGTTTGCTGTGCTTTAGGGATTCCCCAGGGCAGGTCTGTATATGAAGGGTTGGGGCATCATGGCAGCCTATGGAAAACATAACAGATATCAGGAGAAGCCCTGAGAGAGAGGACAGTATGTGAAGGTGAGTAGTTGGGCATGTGTTGCTGTTGTCTTTTGTGAATTCACAGAAAATTTTTTTGCAGGTGCAGATAGTACGCCTGGTTGGCATGATGCTTCTTGTATTTGCCAGGAAGGATCAACTAAGTTATGTCAAAGATGTCATGGCAGAGACTGTGGGGACTGGAATCATGGGGAAGATGGTGAGTGGCCTGGAACAGTGGTTGCACCACAGTAGCTGACTGGTTTATGTGAGATGTGGCATTCTGGTGCTTACTTTTCTGTGCTGTGAGTCTTCCTGTCTGCATGCCTCCTGTTTACTTTGTCTTAGCCCAGGTCTCAATTGTTCCTTTTGTGTTCTTACCTAATAATCAGTGTTAACTGCACTTCCCAGGGTAACAAGGGTGGCGTGGCTGTAAGGTTTGTGTTCCACAACACTACGTTCTGCATTGTCAATTCTCACCTGGCTGCTCACGTGGAGGACTTTGAGCGGCGGAATCAGGATTATAAGGATATCTGTGCCCGGATGAGTTTTTTACCTCCTGATGAGGGCCTACCTCAGCTGAACATCATGAAACATGAGTGAGTCTCCACCTCTGCTCCCCTCCTCAAATTTAGGAAGTCTTAACTAAACATTCCCACCAGCTGGAGCCCAAATGTAGATAAAACTGCCTGCTTTATTAACATGATAAAAATTCCGAAGCCTTATCCATAAAATAACTCCCATCAGTGCAGCTGAATCTGTAGGGGCACTGATGGCCAAAGCACCAGGGCAGAATTTGTATTGTAGTCAGTTGCACAGTCTCTAGCAGTCCTGTCCTCACCAGTGGTCTGTAACACTGTCCTCTCAATAACTAGCATTGGTAAGTCAATAGATGATTATTAGAGTTGTGAAAAAAACGGGAATTTTTTAGAACAAAAATAGAAACTCACTGCCTGGGAAGCACGTTCCAGCTTTTCATTTTGGGGTATTTTGTTTCCCTCCTTCTCTGCTTTCTTCTCGCTCAGAAGTTTGTTCCTCCAAGAAATTATGTAATCTGCAGGTGCTTTCATACTGGAAATGAGCTCAGGTTTCAGACTGAAAGAGAAGAGTGAAGAGAAGTGAGAATGTCAAGGGTCTTGCAACGGTCTAGCCGCAAGGAGATGAGGAGGCTGGAAGACTGTCTGGAAATCTATAGAGTAGGGTCAGCAACCTATGCCCTGCAAAACCATTTAATCCAGCCCACAGACATGGACATGGGGCTTCAGCAGCATTCAGTGGTGGGGAGCATTGGTACTGGTTGCTTTCCTGTGCTGCTGTAGGGGAAAAAGCAGTGGTAGTGGCTGGGTCCTAGTGCCCATGTATCTGCTCAAACTGAGTCAGTCCAGCCCAGAGTTTTAAAAAGTTGCTAACCACTATTCTAGAGGAGGGGCAATAGAGTTTGTTGGTAGCTGCAGAGGGGTGTGTGGCTAGTGGATGGAATGAGGTAGGGTGACTGCATTCAGGAATTCATAGATTCTTACTGGACCTGTACTCTTGTCTGGACAACAGTCAGCCTGTATCAGGCATACGAGAGAGGCCTGTTGATATCTTGGTAACAAATATGATACTGGTAATTTTTTTTTTTTGGTATACAAGGGCAAATACAAAGCAGTAGTAGGCCCAGCTTTAGTAGGCAGAGGCTCTGTTGTTTTTTTGTCTTGTAGAAATGCAGGTTTTTCTTTGTAGACAGTGCATGTGCCCCATGTTTAAGAAATTAACTGATTACAAACTGAATTGTGGTGTACTTCTGTTTCATTTTTATAAAAAATGTTTTGGTCCTTTCAGATGTTTTTTCAGATTGAGGCAAATTTCAGCAGCCTTGAGTTAATGACTCCTTGATGCCACATAGAATTCTTAAGGAAACTGAATTATCTTATTAGTAGGTGTTAGATTCATTCAAATCTTGAAACTTCTTGTGATTGTGCTCTAGGTGTCTCACCCATTACATCCTACGATATGCTTTTTAAATGCAGCCTAGCTGATTATCTGTTCCTCTTCCCACCAGGTGAGTTCTGATACTAACTTCTGGCTCTTCTCTCCTGTGTTTACCTTTATGCTTAGTGTTGTCATCTGGCTGGGAGACTTGAATTACAGACTGTGCCTTCTTGATTCCACTGAGGTGAAAAGTCTGATTACTAAGAATGAGCTTCAGAAATTGTTGACATATGACCAGGTTGGTGAACTTCAGTCGTGTGTGGCATGAAAAACATGAAGCCATCTTGTCCCTGTGTTTAAGAGCTGGCCTGTGCCCTTTTGTAATAGACCCAGGTTTGGTCTTCACTACAAAGGTTTGCTCTAGGTGTGGAAAGATCACATCACACAGCTGCTGTAGGTAAGCCAGCAAAACCTGTCATGTGGCTATGGCAGTGCTTAGAGAAGAAAGCTTTTATTGGATTCCTTTGAGGGGGTAGTACAACTACTCTAGAAGCCCTAGCTGCCAAAGCTATAGTGGCAGGAGATAGAAATGCCCCTAAACTCAGCTCTGAAGCATCCTTGTTTGGGTCATGCTGTCATTTAGTTCTCACTAAAAATATCAAAACGTGTTTAAAGCTGAGTAAGCTCTTATTTGATATTTGGGCTGTAAGAGTGTATATTAAATATAACCTAACCAATACACACTACATGGAATGGCTCCCTCAGAACAAAAATTCCATTTGATGCAAGTTTCCATTGCTGTAACAGTGCTGCTGTCTTACTGATTGCCCTCCACTAAGGACAGATTTAGAACAGTTATGACAGTGACATCTGTGAAGGATTTTATAATTGGTATCCTAGAAAGTGTGTTGGGATTCTGCATACTGCTTAATAAGGGTGACCTAAATTCTCTAGTGGAAGCGTATGTTATGCAGCGCTTCCCTGTAGATCTATAGAAACTGAAGCAGCTTTGGAAAAATTTAAAATGGGGGCTTTTATCAATGAAATGTTTGTTGCACATACTTTGAATTTAACTTCGCTGTTCTTAATGTCTTAATTTTAACTGTTCTGCAGAATATGGTACTGACAGCCCTTACATTTTAGCTTCTCATAGAAGAAACATGGAGATTTTGCAGTAGAGAGAAGATATGGGGGGCAATTTAGGGTTGTTACCCAAGTACATTGGCTGGAGGCTTCTCCTAAAATGATCAACAGTGAAGCTGTTAATACTGGTTCCACTTTAATGTAATTATCTTCCAAAGTTAATACCTGGATGGGACAGATGGAGCACAGCAGTTACTGTTTTCCGTAGCTATTTCGTCTGTCTCTGGACTCACGACTGTTCTCATTTGGAAGGCTTTCTTCACAGCTGCAAAAGCTTTTAATAAAAGAGTTTATTTTGAGACACCAGTTCTGGAGTGAGGGGGGAGTCTGTGGCAAATTTCATGCCTGTGGAATACAAAAGACCCTGCCTGTAACTCTGCTCTCCAGAACAGTGATTTTTGCTTTTGTGCTGATAAGGATGTTCCTTTTTGCCTCTAGTTGAATATTCAGCGTACTCATAAGAAAGCTTTTGCTGATTTCACAGAGGGAGAGATTAAATTCATCCCCACGTACAAATATGACTCTAAGACAGACCGCTGGGATTCCAGGTAAAATCTATTGCTGCTGGCCTCTTAGCCTTGGCCTTTTATAACATTTATGCTACAAAATTTCATTCCCTGGCTGAATTACTAGACTATAAGCCATGTCCTAGAAACACTCCTATAGCCATCAGTATACCACCGAGTAGTCAAACAGATCTCTTATTGCTTTCTTTGTACTCTCTGAAGTAGAACCTTCACCAGTGGGATGGGTTACCTGTTTCAGTTTACTTGAAACAGAGCATTTCACTGTGTCCAGAAACTAATGTGGATAAAGAATGACCTGTACAGTGATTGCTTAAAGGAGCTGTAACAGCTAAGGACAGAAACAAAAGAAAATTGAGGGGTTAGAAATAAGTGCAGTCTCCAAATGAGTCAGTCTGTCTTATGAAAAGTTAACTAAGCTGGAGAAGCTAACCCAAAACTCAGAGACTCAGTTGCCGGGAACAGTAGCAGCTGAGTTAATTTTTCCAGAGTGGAAAGAGTGGACAATAAATTAAGCTGTAGCTTGTACTAAGGTGCGGTGGCAAAAAAACTAATGTGACTGGGTCTACATATACAAAAACCTCAAGTTAGAGTGATAGTTACTGTACAGCCTTATTTTTCAACTGCCAGTGAGATGGTAAGAGACTTTGTGAAAAGCAAAACCAGTGATTGGATAGGAAGGAGGATAAGAAGTCCAAAACCTGTACATGAGCTAGATGCCAGTCAAGGCAGCATGCCAGCTTCAGGGACGGAAATTCAGCTCTTGCATGAGTAGAGGAGAGGAAATTTCAGAGAGAGAGTTTTTAGGCTGACACATGTGGGAGCCCCATCCCTGGAGATGAATCCCTAAAAATTGTACACTGCAGGGAGCATTTTGGCCAAGGATGAGAATTCGTTAAATAGGCCAATAGAGACTGTCTAATTCCATTTGTAATCTATGTGTCTCTGCAGTGGGAAGTGTCGTGTGCCAGCCTGGTGTGATCGAATCCTCTGGAGAGGAGGCAACGTTCATCAGCTCCGGTACCGCAGTCACATGGACCTGAAAAGTAGTGACCACAAGCCAGTTAGCGCGCTCTTTCTGATTGGGGTAACTGTTGCTTGATGTTGAGGAAAGCACTTGTTTGGTACTCTGTTCACTAAAGCAAGAGAAAGATGCCTGTCTGAGTGTGGCTACAGAAGGGTGGAAGGAACAGAAATCAGTAGTATTCACCCAGCTGTTGTGCAGTGTATTTTGGCAGCCTCATTCACTCCAGCCAGTACAGCTGGGCAGTTGCAGAATTTGCAGCGCTTGCATGCAACATAGTTCAAGTGTACAACTCTGAAGCAGACTTGTTCCTTGTAACACAGGTGATTTACTGAAGTTTAGCATAGCAGACGTGGAAGTATAAATAAGACAGCTGCATCCCATGTGATTGCTTTAACAGTGTTTCTTATCCTTTGATGTGCAACTCCAATGCATCTACCTCTAGAATGAGGTTGCTTAGCTGTTTTGTAGATGCCTCTTCTTGGGGACTGGAGCAATTAAAGCAATTGCTCCTGTGATGGTGTTTCTGATATGCTGTGAGATGCATGTTCTCTTGGGCCCATAAGTGTTAGTTTGGTTGCAAACAGCTGAATAGGAGTTGTGCTAGGCAACAGATTTGAGGTCCCTAATCTACTAGATAGATGTAGCATATTTGTTCAGTATTCCTAGCTCAAGCTGCAGGGGAGAGGGTCTTCTGGAAGAGGTGGTGTTTTCTCTCTTTATGCAAGCATGTCAACCTGAAGAACGATGCATGTCCCTATAGAATGTCAGTGCATAGGCCACCCCAAATAGTAGCTTCTTTCTACTCCCCCTCAGCAAGACGGTAACAGTACTAATGTCTGTGGGTGTAATTTGCGTGTAAGTACCCATGAAGCTTTGAGGAGCAACTACATCAACTCTCAGAACCTTCAAAGCTACATACAGGGAATGCCCCAAAATCTCCTCTGCTCTGCTGCAAATTACAAACTCCTGTAGGAGTTTATGCTGAAAGGCAGAGAGCCTAAAGCTTCACAGAGTATTTTCTGATCTTCTGCAGGTGAAGGTTGTGGATGAGCGGAGATACCGCCAGGTGTTTGAGGATATTGTTCGAATGATGGACAGAATGGAAAATGACTTCCTTCCTTCACTGGAGCTTAGTAGAAGAGATGTGAGAATGAAAACTGAATCCTCATGTGCTTCGTAACTGCCAGCAATTCTAGGAGAGCTGAAACCTTTTTTTTTTTTTTTAAAGACTGATAATGTTTCATTAAACTTCAGTTTAGAGACAGGAGCCAGAATAGATATTCTGGGAATTGGTTAGAAACTGCAGCTTTCCCTGCCTCTACACAGGCGCTCTGTTATGGAGCCAGTACCGCTTAGTTACCTCCCCATTTTTCACTTGTGGAGTTTGCATTTGTGTTTTGCCCCCAGATTGGTAACGAGATTTGTTTCCTCTTTGCTCTGCAGTTTGTTTTTGATCATGTGAAGTTCCGGCAGCTTCAGAAGCAGAAGTTCCAGATCACCAACAATGGGCAGGTCCCCTGTCATTTCTCCTTCATCCCCAAACTCAATGATACCCAGTACTGTAAGCCATGGCTTCGGGCTGAGCCCTGTGAAGGCTACCTGGACCCAAGTAAGTCTTACTACTATCTCTGTAGTGTCTTGGACAAGACCACTGTCATCACTTCCATTCTTTGCTTTCCTGCTTTCTGCTGCTTTTGCTTCTCACTATTCCCACACTGACTGAGGTGTTTGTGTCTATACTTCCTTTCCTCTGCTGTTTCTTTTTTCTGCCATCTGTCCTGCTTTCTGTTGTCTGTCTGCGGCTGTCTGTTTGACTCTATCACTCCTCCATAGAGAGTTTCTGTAATCCCTGTGTCCCTCATCCTGTTTCAGATGAGACTCTGGACATCTCCCTGGATGTGTATGTCAGTAAGGACTCTGTGACCCTCCTGAACTCAGGTGAGGATAAAATTGAGGATATTCTAGTCCTTCATCTGGATCGAGGCAAGGATTACTTCCTCACCATCAATGGGAGCTACCTGCCCAGTTGCTTTGGCACCTCTCTGGAGGCTCTCTGTCGAATGAGACGACCGATCCGAGAAGTCCCAGTCACCAAACTCATTGACCTGGTAAGACTGTAATTGACCTGCAGTCTCTTGCTTTCTGGAGCTTGAGCTGTGTCTTTAATAACCACATAGTGAAAATTTCCTTTTCCATTTGTTCCTAAAATGGCAATGCTTTCCAAGGGAATAACCTCACCTAACATGAATAGTCTTTGTGGTTTCTCTTCACATAGGCAACCCTGCAGTCTCTTTTCTATTCCCCTAAGATTCTCTATTGCTCTTTGGCTGTGACCTCCCTTCTCTTCATGTGGCTTTGCTTGATGTTATTTAATGGGGTGAAAAATTAACCCAGATCCTCACATATGTGTTGCCTCTGTCTGTAGAACTGCTTGGATACCTGCTCAGAATACTTGATGTTACTGTATTGCTGAACGCTTGGTTCCATTTGAAAACCTTATTCTAGATGGTGCCGGTTTTCAGCTCAGGTTCGTAATGGAGTTAGGAGTCTTTTCAAACATCACGTCCTGGTACTGTATTGAACAGCTATTAGCAAGTCTTTCAAAAATCAGAGACTGGGACAAATCTGTGGGAAGAAGGAAATATATTTTGCTAAATGCCAAATTAAATGTTATGTTTTGCCAGAGCTGAATTTTGTTTCCCTGTGGGTAGTAAAGTGGCCTCCTTTCAGCCTTTTGCTGATAGTTTTGGGGTTTTTTTCCTCCCAGTCTCTTCTCACTTCCATGCATCATTTATTTCCATTCTCCAGAGCCACCTCTAGCTGTGCTCAGGTTCTGATGTTGTATTCATCCCTGCAGACTCTTATGTCTGTTTCTGTGATGGGACCCCTCCTTTCGTATTTTAAGCTTCTTTTTCCAGGCTTCTTCTCTCTTTCATCATATCATTTGCACTTTTAATCTTATCTGCTTTATCTGTGCCGAGACTCAGCCCTGCCTCTATTTCCATCCTTTTACTGACCCTCCCTCCAAGACTTTCTGTGTGTCACCCAAGCCAACCTGAGATGCTTATTTTCTTTATCTAAAAGCCTCAACACTTGTGTTTGGGCAGAAACACCAGCCTGTGATACTGTTCCTCTATTCCCCTCAACTTTGAACTCCTCTGCTCATAACTTGGTTTCGTCCTTCACCCTGAATCCATGTTCTTCCACATGTCTTTTGTCTGCAACCTCACTTATTGTCCATGTATAGCCATGGATATCACAGCCTCTTCTGTCCACAAGAGAAATCTTTCTGTTCTGTCCTCCTCCTCTTTATCTTTGTGTAGAATTGCACAGAAATAGGGCTGAAAGGGACCTCCATAGGTCATCTAGTCCAACCCCCTGTCCAAACCATCCAATGAAAATCTGTCCAGTCTTTTAGCAAAACTACCCAGCCAACTACACAAGATGCACAATGATGTGTACTGTTTCAAGGCAATAGGATGGAGCGGGTCAATGAAGAAGCTGCAAGCTGAGTTGTGCTGAATAATGAAGTGTAGCTGGAGACTGATTTGTATGTGGTTCTTGTCAGCTGGAGGCATTGGTGGTGATTCTTTACTGGAACCTAACTAAAGTTGTTTTTTTTTTCTTAAATGCTGGCCCACAACCTAGTGATGCCTAGTAGAGGTTTGTGTCTGCAGGAACAGGTGATATTACCACAGTGAAGTTGAAAAGTTTGAGATATAATTGTGCTGAAGCCAACAGGGAAATAGCTGAAGGGAGGTACAGGAGTGTAATGAGATGGAGGTGGGAGAGGGCAAGCACGCCACTAAGCTGGATAGTTCTGATGGTGAAATGAGCTCCTCTGTATAGTGGGCTAGGATTATGTTGCTCGTCTTGCCTCTCTCTTGCATCACACTTGGAAAGTGAAGCCCAGCCAGGGTGGTGAATACGACCCCAGGAGCGGGATGGAGTTACGGG